TTTACATATGTCTTGCATCTAAAAATATACCCAAGACACAATTAAATGTGTTCAATCATACTGTATAATTCCTCAAGTCCCGATGTGCTTTAAATTGCATCTGAAATATATATGATATATGGGGAAATATATGTGAGCCATTACGCAACGAATTGACAATTGTTTTAGGTGTGCCCGTTTGCGCTAAGACGGAACCCGGTCGCAAAAATGGCCACGAGAGGGGCACGAGTCGCAATTCGGCGTGTCCGGAATAACACGAGTTGGTCACGCATGTCTAGGAAGGGGGCATGGGTGGCCCAGTCGCCTAAGGTGCTGCGATTCGCTGTGCAGTGTTGCGTCCCTTGGGGACGCCAGGAACCTATGATTGTGGGTTCGAATCCCGATTCGCCTCGGCTTTGTTTCTAGGTTTGTCAGCACCATACCCGTGCTCGTGGGTTTCACAGAAGTGGTAAACGTCTGAGACATGCATCACTTAGGGCTTTCCTCCCACATTAAGCTGACACGCCGTGATATAACTAGAATACTGTTAAAAGCGGTGTTAAACCCAACTCACTCAACTCACAGTCATTCGAGGATCCTCTCACTGAACTCGGCTTGCACTGATTCTGATCCTCGGGTTGTCAGCACCATTAACATGCTGGTTGATTCCTCCAAAGTGGCACACGTCTAACAATTGTGTGGCTTTGTTATTTTTTCCTTCATTAAGGTGATACTCTGGGACATAACTGAGACACTACGTCAATGCGGCCTAAAACTAACTCTCTCGCTCATTATAGATGTGTTTCTTAATATCATGAAAATGGTTTTGTCCCTTCAGTCTGTAATTGAGTGATACTATTGACGTCATAGATATGGACACTTTTTGTAAAACAAGAAGTTTGGTATGTTTTAAATATGATCACTTGCCCTACGTTTAAAAAATTCAAAAATCAAGTTGAACTTTGTTGATTATTTATGGATCATTGCTCATAACTTCTATCACTGGATTGACTGGTCCAGTCTCATTTTTTTACTGGCTGTGGTCATACAGCTGAAATATTGTTGCGTGTGGCCTTCAACAACAAACAAGGTGGTCACGTCCAAGATTATTGCACTTATATAGCTACGTGCATGTACGTGTGTGTGTTTGTGTGGCTGCCTGTACTAGTCAGGACTGATGCCGATTTGTAGTGCTAGCTCACTGAGATACCATGCCGCAGTTTAACATCAGTACCCCACTCAGACACAGTATACTGACTCCGAGCCGACCAGTCCTTGTTTTAATTCCTTAATGCCGAGCGCCAGACAGGGTAACAACAAGTACCATCTTCTAACGTCTTTTGGTATGACGCGGTCGGGGATCAACCCCCGATGTTCCGCTCTCCGGGCGGACACTCTACCACTAGACCACTCTTCTCTGTGGCAGTGAATGATGATAAAGACAGACAATGTGCACATGTTCATATCATTTATTCGTTTGGTGAAAAATATATCAACATTGGTCAAAATATGCAGGAGAATGAGAATTGTGGCTACAGAGTGGCAACACGTAGCTGACACAGCACACTGGTGTTTATCAACATCAAACAAGCAAGCTTAAACTCTAAATTATCAAACAGCATGCAACTACAGGGAAAATAGTTTCTTATGGAATAATTATGAAAACAAATCGTACACAATAATGGTTTTCGGCTTGTGATCATTTCCAAGTATTGTTCATCCAGGTCAAATACTGAGTGAAAGGTGTCCGGGATCATGAATATTGTGTGGCATATATTAGTGGTGAGTCAACCTTGAAATACTTTGGTAGATCAGCTGAGACCATTTTAAGGGCCCCTTATTTGATTTTACATGAAAGAGTAAAGCATGTCCTTCAAGAGATTGTTTAAAACACGCACCTGACCTCATTCATCTGTCTCGTCACGATATGGCTGAAATATTGCCGATGTGACGTTAAACTTTAACTCACTCACTCACTCACTCATTCATCTGTCAAAACTTTCTCACAACAATAATCATACAGAGCGTATCTAAACACTACTTTTGCCCAACACGTCTGTATCAGGAATATGACCTGAGAAGGGGGCACAAAAATGCACCCCAAGCGTAAGTACTGGAATCTTTGGTGCAAGATAAGTGAGGCAATATAAAAAGACATTCTTTTTAAATATGATACATACAAATACCTAGTTAGTGTTGCCATGACACTTGCTTGACAAACCAAGCAAATGTTTTGAGTTGCTTTCCATATATGGGGGGGATGAGTGAAAGGGGAGGGGATGGGGGGGAATGGGGAGAGAGGAGGGGATGAGTGAGAGGAGATGGGGGGGAGGGGAGAGGGGATGGGGAGAGGGGAGGAATGGGGAGAGAGGAGAGTAGAGGGGGGAGAGGAGATGGGGGAGGGGAGAGGAGAGGAGAGGGGATTGGGGGTAAGGAGAAAAGAGAGAGAGGAGAGTAGAGGGGGGAGAGGAGATGGGGGAGGGGAGAGGAGATGGGGGAGGGGAGAGGAGAGGGGATTGGGGGTAAGGAGAAAAGAGAGAGGACAGTAGAGGGGGGAGAGGGGAGGGGAGAGGAGAGGGGATTGGGGGTAAGGAGAAAAGAGAGAGAGGAGTGGGGGGAGAGGAGATGGGGGAGGGGAGAGATGGGGTGAGGATAGGGGGAGGGGAGAAGGGGAGAGGGGATGGGGAGAAGAGAAGGGGGGGAGAAGGGGAGAGGGGAGGGAATGGGGGAGAGGATACCTACCAACTTCACATAACTGGGTCGAGGTTCCCTGAAGCAGATCTTTTAATGTTCGTTTGACACATAATCAACTAAACCACAGAGCCTGACCCCCAATCTATTTCGTCCACTCACAAGACAAGGAAACATGGCCGGGGACCCGATGGAGACTGGAATCCCCAAGGGGTCCAAAGAAACCCACACTGTATTTAGGGACGGCCTGATCCACTGTGGCATCATGTGCAGCAATATGTGAAGAGGTCGGGAGAGGTTTTGTCTTATTACAAAATAACCACCTATGTACTCGTATCAAGTGGCTTCACACATGTGACAGCTCCTGATCAACCTGGGAGACTTTAGAGTGAGTGAGTGAGTGAGTATGTTTTTATGCCGCTTTTAGCAATATTCCAGCAATATCACGGCAGGGGACACCAGAAATGTCGGGAATCAAACCCGGGTCTTCGGCATGACGAGCAAACGCTTTAACCACTAGGCTACCCGACAGCCCCAAATATCTTTAGAAAGCCCACTAGGCTACCCGACCAGCCCGAATGTCATTAGAAAGTCCACTAAGCCACCCGACCGCCCCGAATATCTTTAGAAAGCCCACTAGGCTACCCGACCAGCCCGAATGTCTTTAGAAAGCCCACTAGGCTACCCGACCGCCCTGAATATCTTTAGAAAGCCCACTAGGCTACCCGACCGCCCTGAATATCTTTAGAAGGCTGATGGGATCCACCTTCAACCAAATTCAACGCCATGATACTTTAAGGCTTTCAAGAAAGACAGGAGCTTTGATTAAAGGACCTCTAAAATACTTTATCGCCTTGAGTGTATTATGGTAAAGGTGACATTATGCCAAACTTACAATCTCTTTAACAATTCAGAGACTTTGTGAAAATATAATTCTGTTTTATTACTTTTGGCACGACTGTTGGCAAGTCATTCAGGGTAGTTCTGCCATCTGTCATTCAAGAGAGAATCATCAGAGCTCTTCTCTATAGGCAATGTTACCAAAATAATACAGCCTAGTCTAGTCTAGCCACAAATTGCTTAAAGCACCTAGCCACAGACTTGTTTAAAGCACCACGGTGACAACTTCTAGAAATACAAAAATGACCACATTCTGTGAAACCTCATTAATCTGGACCTGAATGCCACAGAAACTTTGTGAAACCGAACAGCACACTAAAATGTCCAGTTTAAAGAGGTTCCACTGTATAAGGCAAGCAAATACAATACAAAAGTTCAAAATATAGGTATGTACATTAAAGCTCATCATGAAAACATCCTCCTTTGATATGCAAGTAGCACCAAGCTAAGCAAGTATAGTGACACCCTGTTAGCCCAGACCCTGGCAATCTGGAAACCCTGCTTTCTGGACAAATCTGGTCAGGAACTCCAACATAGATACAAAACACATGTTTCATTCATCCCATGAAGATCCAGTTAGAATTGATCTTCAGCAACCAATGTTTGTCACAAGAAGTGACGAATGGGATCAGGTGGTCAGACTCACCGACTTGGCTCATACATGTCATCATATCCCAAATCAGTAGATGCTCATGACATCAATCACAAGATTATCTTGTACAAACTCCATTTTTTTATTTACAGACTGCCATCATATAGCTGGAATATTGCTGAGCGCAGCTTTAAACAACAAACAAACAAGCGTGATCATTCATCCAGACAAATCTGATCTATACAAATTTTTCGGGAACAGTACTGTCTGGATTAACAGGGTTCATTGTAAATTCAACGACGATGGAAAACTGATTCACAACAATGACTAGTTCAGACTGAATCCCACATTTACACCTGGAATATAGATAAACATCACCACTTCTTTCTCTTCATAGATTTCCAGGTATCTTTGATAATTATTTTGACAAATATGACACAACCATTACCTGATACGTGGAAACAAGATCAGCACCTGTTTCTCCAGGTGGTCACATCAACTGATGCAGTGAAGCAGAGGAGCAATGGAGCTGTTGCCATGGGAGCTGTTGCCATGGACCACTTGCAAACATGTCATTACAGAATCCAAATCTGTATTTCAATATGACGCACTATAAAACCAAAACTGGTTTCGTTAGAAAATAAATACAGGATACAATTTAAAATTGTCTGCTTCATATGAAATACAATGTAAGCGGTACTTAATATTTTCTAGCTGAAGATGTTATATAGCATCCTCCTGAGGCAAGAGCGTCCACTAGCCTTTTTATCAAAGTCTTGTTTCCACCCTTGCCACATCAAGACCACGTTCCCACTGCCTGACTTTTTTGACAGGAATATGTCTTTTTCATCTTTAAAACCCCCTAACGATTGCCTATGTTTTTGTGTCAGGGATCAAATCCCGAATGTTTTTGTTCTTGGTCGTCGCCTATGGTAGTCGCCATCTTTGTGAAGCTGTTTGAGATAAGAACAGCGATCTGATTGGATATCGCGTTTTCATCACACGGGGCACATCTATTGATCTATGCGAGGTGGCACCACGGTCAAGCCAGGAACCGTGGCCTTGATGTGGCAAGGGTAGAAACTAGGCTTTGATATAGACAAGTGGACACGCTTCCCTCGAAAAGATGGTCATATAGCGGAAATGTCAGAAAAGTGAAAGTACAACTTTAGATTTTTATGTTCACATGACCTGCCTAAAAAAGTTATGTTTAATACAAACATTTTAGAGCTTTCATAACCACTTCAATGAAGCAACCTAAAATATCACTATTTTTCTAATATATATTCACAGTTTTCTAATATATTTCAAAGTTTTAACTCCCATAAAACTGATCACACTTTAAACCTACCGAGACTTTGGACCCAGTCGTAATAAACTGCCAGGCAAAAGAAAGTATGTTTGATGGTGACGAAAAATTAAACCAACAAGAAATGGCTACTTAATAGTGATGTTTGTAATTTTGGTCAAATCTAATTTTCAAGTGTATACTTTCTTTTGCCCAGCTGTGTAGTCCATGCCTGGCAAAACAGAGCTGTTGCTCTCATTTTCTTATCTGAGTTTGAGAATTTGATCAGTTCATAGAAGCAAGAATTGTCTGTAAAAATCAACACAACATCGAGTATATCACATAATGAAAAGTATTTGATCACAAACAAATCTGCGTCAATTTCAAAGTGAAATGCACACATCAACAAAACGTATTAAACTTTGTAACAAAACACCGACGGAACAATATCGATTCTAAGGTGATGGACACTGAATAACTATTTATCCTTTGCTCAATACTAAAAGGGGTAAACAAATTATACTGTAACTGATTTGACAATCAGCATATTCTGAAATATTTCGGATCAATTTTTTTAGAGTACGGTTAGAAGGTAAGTGTAAATCATATTACCTGTATAGCATATATTAATATTATGTTTCATGAGCAATGAGACATTAATTAAACAGGGTAAAAGCATCCTTCAAATAAATATTTGATGACAACCATGCATATAAACATAAAAACAACTAATACACATATATCAATCATATAACAGAAACTATATTGAGTATTACCATTACTGAAGACATGTGTCATGTCTGTATTATGCCAATCAAACAGCGTTTCCCCACAGCATTCCACACAGAGATAGTCCACTGATGTAATCATGTAATTATTGTCGGACAAAAATAATACATCAGCACGACTAAGAAGTGATACGATATGACCTTAATTCTGGAAGTCATGTGTTTAGAAAGAGTAAATATTGTTCAACATTGTCAGCAAAGTTCCAGCTATATCACAGCACCATTTACAGAAACATGGCACAGACAAACCAATGTCCAGCGCTATTGGCATACGATAACTGTAGTTAAACCATGGCTCCTTTGTCTTTGACCGTGGTCTAAATAAATTGTTAGTTAAACACCACTTTGCAATGATGGAAATTCTTTTTTTCCCTAGCATTATCTTGATGATAGAACAATTTTATGAAAAACGTTTGTCCCCAGGGGGATTCAATCCCGGGAAGTCCACACGAAAAGCAAACGAATGTAGTCTTCTACCACGGCGATATGGGAGAAAGGGTATGAAATTAACAACTAAATATTTACTTACATCAGGACTAATTGCTTATCTGTTTATGAACTGCGAGAAGTTCGAGGTTAGTGACATGAGTCCTATCCCTGTCAGTGTGTTTGTAAGGTAGGTTCAGAAGAAGAAACACGCAATCAACCAAGTCACAGTGCCTGACCAATCCAACATAGTCGCCTTTTACAACAAGTAATACATTCCTTAGGACCTATTCTTGGTCTTTTACTAGTGCTTCAAGCTAATGCTGATTTTGCATGTGAGTCATATATTTAATTTAGTGTTATAGTTCTTGTAGTCTTGTAAGATATTGCTTCACCTATGGGTGTGAATTTTAACAAGGAGAACTGATGTCTCATGTTTGTTTAAATACAAAGACTTACCAGTAGCGACACGTTATGTTGGAAGAGAAGTTCAAGGTTAGTGACACGAGTGACACCAGTAAGTGACTCTTATGGTCAGTGGTCAAGTAACGTGTCAGGACAATGATCCTGTTTGGGGTGCTATGTTTTCTATCTCTGATTCTTACACAGGGAGTGAGTAAGTTGGGTTTTATGCCACTTGTAGTAATATTCCGGCAATATCACAGCGGGGGACACCAGGATTGGGCTTCACACATTGTGCCCATGTCGGGAATCAAGCCTGGGTCTTCAGTGTGACGAGCTAACGCTTTAACCACTAGGCTACCTAACTGCACCTTCTGAAGTTGAGAAAAAACTGTGACTGTTGATTGACGGTGAAGACAGGATTGACTCCAGGATTTCTACTTTATCAGTGAACCCTGTCTTCATCAAAGTCAACCCTGTCTTCATCAAAGTCAACCCTGTCTTCATCAAAGTTAACCCTGTCTTCATCAAAGTCAACCATGTCTTCATCAAAGTTCACCCTGTCTTCATGTATACTACTGTTTGTAAATGCCACTCACAGACTAGGACTTTCTGTGTGAAATAGATGGATGCTAGCACATCCAATGGCATGAGGATTTGTTACAAAACATGAAATAAAATCTTTTTCAGTTGCAATTCAGTTGATAAATATGTCAAAGTAAACTATTTAGCAAAGCAGTCATTACAATTAGGTGCATAAACAAAATTCGAAAGTGACATATTCATGTCACATGATATTTATGATCTGGAAGCCATTTAGTAATGCTCAATGACAACCTATCAATAAACGTATTGTATTGGATGGTGTTTGGAAATATAAAGTGGCATACGTCCAGGCATAACTGACCATTATCACATCTTTTGATCAAGTGAGCCGTCTGAATGGTGCCGACCAAATGATATTTATACATTGTACATAGTATAAATTCAAGTAGATATTTTCTAGTTAGTGTAATTTGTCTGTTTGGATTTCATTGTTCAATCCCTATGCCCTCTAAAACCAAAACGCAGTCCATCCCCAGACTGGACCAACTGCAGTGCATCCCCAGACTGGACCAACTACCATTGCAGTGCATCTCCAGACTGCACCAACTGCCACTGCAGTGCATACCCAGACTGGACCAACTGTCATTGCAGTGCATCCCCAGACTGGACCAACTGTCATTGCAGTGCATCCCCAGACTGGACCAACTGCCATTTCAGTGCATCCCAAGACTGGACCAACTGCCACTGCAGTGCATACCAAGACTGGACCAACTGTCATTGCAGTGCTTCCCCAGACTGGACCAACTGCCATTGCAGTGCATCCCCAGACTGGACCAACTGCCATTGCAGTGCATCCCCAGACTGGACCAACTGCCATTTCAGTGCATCCCCAGACTGGACCAACTGCCATTTCAGTGCATCCCCAGACTGGACCAACTGTCATTGCAGTGCATACCCAGACTGGACCAACTGCCATTTCAGTGCATCCCCAGACTGGACCAACTGCCATTGCAGTGCATCCCCAGACTGGACCAACTGCCATTGCAGTGCATCCCCAGACTGGACCAACTGCCATTGCAGTGCATCCCCAGACTGGACCAACTGCCATTGCAGTGCATCCCATGGCTGGACCAACTGCCATTGCTGTGCATCCCCAGACTGGACCAACTGCAATGCATCCCCAGACTGGACCAACTGCCATTGCAGTGCATCCCCAGACTGGACCAACTGCCATTTCAGTGCATCCCCAGACTGGACCAACTGCCATTGCAGTGCATCCCCAGACTGGACCAACTGCAATTGCAGTGCATCCCAAGGCTTGACCAACTGTCATTGCAGTGCATCCCCAGACTGGACCAACTGCCATTGCAGTGCATCCCCAGACTGGACCAACTGCAATTGCAGTGCATCCCCAGACTGGACCAACTGCCATTTCAGTGCATCCCCAGACTGGACCAACTGCCATTGCAGTGCATCCCCAGACTGGACCAACTGCCATTGCAGTGCATCCCCAGACTGGACCAACTGCCATTGCAGTGCATCCCCAGACTGGACCAACTGCAATTGCAGTGCTTCCCTAGACTGGACCGACTGCCATTGCAGTGCATCCCCAGATTGGACCAACTGCCATTGCAGTGTACCACTGCATTGCATTCCTTAACATTCATAAATCTACATATTCAATTTAGTGCATGTCAATTATTATAAATTTCTTGTGAATTTGATGTCCCTTGACTTTGATAATCAAACTGACTACTTGAAGACAACACCTCTCCCAATCATCACTTAAATCATTTCTCACTTTCATCAGTGCAAGCACACAAGATCACATAGTCACTGAGCAGGTTTCTACACTATAATGCCCCTTAACAGAAGCCAGCACCAGTTCCACTGTGTAGTACCCATATGCTGGCATATATGCCACATCAAACCCTGTAACCTACAACACACCTGACCAGGAAGAACATGGGTGCTTGATCTTCCCCTAACAAATAAACCTCCAAATTATTAAATCTGTTGTGGCGTATTGTTTGTTATCAGATGGTTTACAAAATACAACATGAAAAACAAACTATAAACAAAAATAATAACATGACATTAAAACCACTAAAACTACTACCTTTTACAAACTGTATCCTGAAACCACTTTAGAGTCGACAATCCAAGTCTGATCAACACCACCAGTGACACCGAATTATTGTGGGTGTTTTCACAGTTGATTTAGAAGCACTTTGCTGTATCATGTCCAGGGCAACTAGAATTGTCTTCACATATTGTTTTCATGTTGGGAATAGAACCTGTATCTGAGGCACGGTAAGCTAACACCTTGCCCACCAGACTACCCAACTGCCATTTTCAGTGCAAGAAATTGTTCCTATTGTCAATTTGGGTTAAAAAGCAGAAGTAAACTAGTTCTAATCGCATGTCTTAATGAATGCCCTAAGAGTACAAATGTTTAGCACAAATGAACATAATTATTATCTTGGCAATTGCTGGCAAGAATTATTGATCGGTTAATGTTGCCATTATCACAGAATTAGTAACATAAAGAAAAACTCTAAAAAAACAGAATAAACTGGACCTTCTCTGCAGGCATCTTTATAAGACCTAGAAAAGTTTAATCTTCAAGAGATGAAGCACTTCGGTGCTACTTGACACTCAAAGAATAGTGCCACAGCACTGGAGCTCACCTGGATATGTAGTTAACAGTTATCATGGCCATAAATAGCTACAACAATATATTGAAAATCAAATTCACATCTTATGAACAAAATCAGGCGTCATCATTGGTGGGAAAAGGCATGTGAAGGTTCAACTTCATGACTTTTTGTGTCTTCCAATATGGCCGCGGGCAGCCATATTTGATTTCCGATCAACAAACCTGGTACGACAGAAGGTGACTATCTCACCCTCCACTTTCATGACTCTGACCTTATAAGCTTTTGAAAAGAAGATATTTTCATTGTCCTTGTTTTAAATCAAAGATGGCTACCAGGCAGCCAGCCATCACGCCATTTTGGAGAAGTCGAAAATACAGAAACTATACGGACACAACTCCCGACGACATAAGCTCACATCTCCTTTCAGGTCAGGTGAGCTAAAAGTTGATTTGCTCTCACATTCTTTACCTGAGGAGACAATGTACCTATACGACCTGACAAGAGGGGGAAAATAATTGCCCCCACCCATATATATTCAGAGAACTACTTAAACAGAAAAATATATTTAATAACCCTCATTCATGTCTCTACAGTTTCTCGATGAAATTAAAATACTGACTTAATTATCGGAATACTGTCATATCTTATGCTATTTCCACAACAAGTAACCGATCTAGCGTACCATGAACTATCCTTAAGAAAGCTGAGTAGTACCTTGTTCACACAAGTAAGTATTTGAATGATTTAATTGAATCAAACCTATTGCGCAGCCAGTATCTATTCCCAAGGCAAGGGAGGTAACTGCCTATAAAATTCCTCTCAAGGCAAGGGAGTTAACTGACTAAAACGGGCCAGTGGAAACAGCCAGTTAACTCCCATGCCCTGGGAAGATGAGCGAGTGAGTGAGTAGGGTTGAACAGTATTACAGTTATATCACGGCGTCAGCTTAAAGTGGGAGGAAAGACCAAAGTGATGCAGGTCTCAGACGTTTACCATTTTGGTGAAAACCAAGAGTACAGCGAATCACGGCGCCTCAGACTACTGGGCCACCCGTGCACCCCCCCACCTCCCTGCCTGGGAAGATGAGCTTCTCTCAAAGTTAACTCTTTGATTACAAGGTAAACTCTTTGATTATAGAAAATGATTGCTGGGTCACAAGAAGTAAGAGATGAACTTCTTCACCGACTGTCAGCTGACAGTGTGTGGGAACTCCTCCACACTTAAGATTCTGTATCACAGTTTGATTGGATGCCTGTTGACGATCGAGTTCTTTCAATGCCACTCATGAAACTACAGAACCACAGGAAGCTTATCACGATAATTCACATCCTAAAAGTACGAAAATTATTCATTCCTGGACCATATTTAGAGGGGGCAGGGATTGTATCTGGAGATTACAAATTTTTTTTTAGTTACAGCTGCAAAACCACATATATTAAAATTATAACTACAAGCCGGAATATTTTTTTAAGTACGACATCTGCAAAAATGTATTTTTTGTATAAAATCCCAGGCAAACACACACACCCCTCCTCCCTATATGAAATGGTCATTCCCTAACATAACAACATCAGTTAACCCGAGGGTCCACTCTCTCCACACACACACCCCTCCTCCCTATATGAAATGGTCATTCCCTAACATAACAACATCAGTTAACCCGAGGGTCCATCCTCTCCACACATTTAGTCGGGGTGTTTTCACTTTCTTCACGAATACATAGAACTGTAACTGAAATACAATTAATTCTGCCCTGCCGTCTGACTGCATGCGTCTATTATATATCATCACCTTCAGTATATTATTCAAACATAATCCAACTCACTCAATTCAAATATCAACATTTTGTGTTTGAAAAACAACATATATTCTTCGTGTTCACACTCACACTTCTTTCATTCTTCGTACAAGATTATGACTGTTTATACAACAAACATCCAAGTTTTACACATATTTGCATTGAAACTGTTAACATCTCAGATCAAACCATTTTCCATCTCCGTATTCATTCATTCAGGTATGGCACTGACACTGTTGGCATGACAACCAAGACTCGTATTCTCTACAATTGAAGAAAACCAGCCTTGTTCTCAGCAAAATACTATCGTAAGAAACATGTCAATCGCTATATGGCCGAAAATATTGGCCGATGCGACTTTAAATCTTAACTCACTCTGACCATCACAGTACTAACACCTACTCATGCTTAATAGAATCCACACTGAAGAGTGAAACCCCCTCCCCAGATCAGGGGTAACCACACACAAAGGGTAACTCATCGGAATCAGAAATTCGTTCGGAAACTCATAAACAGGAATCAGCAAACATTTGTCTTCATTAAGTGTAAGATCAGACTTGAAATAACAAATCACAAAATAACATAGGTACTGACTGTGCCAGTTGAAAAGACCCAAACAAATCTTTCAAATTAACAAGACTTGTACGAGAAGTGCTTTACAGTGATTCTCCAATCAGTTTATACCCATCACATTACCCATCAGTTGGATGCGTGTATCTCAAAATAAATTAAACATTTGTCCGATGGCCGTTTTCACAATGTGAAGTTACATATTGCCTTGTATTGAAGTGTGAAGACAAAATTACCCAAGTCAGTGAAGTGCTGTGCACTCAGGTGCCCAACCTGCACCTTCGTCTCACCGACCAATCCGAGGACAATCACAGACGCTTTCAGAAAAGTAGCATGGAGGAAGACCTTGCAACATCTGTGTCATACCGACTTGGTCCTTGACTTGCCAATAGTCTCCTGATAAGCATGGACAATGTCCATATCCTGTCGGTAGTACTGCTCGATCTTGTCGAAGGGCTTGGGGTCAAGGTCGACCAGTTCAATGGAGTATCGGTAGTAAGCATCGTTGAAGTGGATGATGCTGTTTTCCTCAGAGACCCTGGATGTGAAGAGAATGGTTTGATGAGATACGTTTGATGAGACATATGCTTTGATTGGACTAAGAAAATCATGTCAAACGATAATTGGAGGCAGATATTTCGGGGCAGATACTGTATTTTCTTGACACTAGTGCGCACCCAAACATAACACGCAGACCACCTACCGCTTAGAGGATGTAGTATTGTCTACATAAAGCTTTTCAGAGTATTATGCACTGTCAAATCTACATCGTATCGCTTCCGGTTAAAAACTTGGTGAAGGAAAATGTGAAATTTGCACTTGATATGATGATTTGCGATTTCAATTGTATATACCCTATGCTCAACAATATTGAATAAAATTAATAAAATAGATTACAAACATATGTCCAGATATACAATGAACACTTTGTAATAACCAAATAGTGTAACAATATGATCAACCCGAGTACGGGTTTGATGACATGGCGTTTCCGGGGTTACATGCCTACAGTAATGTCTGTGTGTTGGAGACTGCCTTAGTGGTCTAATGGTAGAGCGTCCGCCCGGAGAGCAGAAGGTCCGGGGTTCAATCCCCGACCGCGTCATACCAAGATGGTACTTGTTGTTACCCTGTCTGGCGCTTGGCATTAAGGGGCTAAAACAAGGACTGCCCAGTTCGGAGTCGGTATACTGTGTCTGAGTGGGGTATTCATGTTAAACTGCGGCATGGTATCTCAGTGAGCTAGCACTATAAATCGGCATCAGTCCGGACTAGTACAAGCAGCCACACACACACACATACACGTGCATGTATGTCGCTATGTAAGTGCAATAAACTTGGATGCGACGTTAAACCCCATTTCACCTCACCTCACCTTTGTGTTGGGGGGAAAAAACATCAGAACTCAAAGTAGGCACTGAGTGTACGCAAATGCCCCTCTTCCCATCTTGTGTTTTTTGGAACAAAGTATGCAATATAATCAAGAAAATGGTCGAGTCTGGACCAGACATTCCATGCAATTGGGATATGATGACATGACAAATACTGTGTCTTGGGCCAACTTTTCAGGAGGCGATGATGCTTTCTTTGACACTTTTGAATGAGAGTCTGTCACATCTTGGTATTTCCCAAACATACATTGAAGTTAGGTGCATTTGAATTTCAAAAAGGGGGGATGCTTTACTTTTTTCCAAGTGAATAGGTGAGTGCTTTAGACTCAATAGGCTTACCCTTGTTTAACAGGCTTACCCTTGTTCAACAGGCTTACCCTTGTCCAACAGGCTTACCCTTGTCCAACAGGCTAACCCTTGTCCAACAGGCTTACCCTTGTTCAACAGGCTTACCCTTGTTCAACAGGCTTACCCTTGTTCAACAGGCTTACCCTTGTCCAACAGGCTTACCCTTGTTTAACAGGCTTACCCTTGTTCAACAGGCTTACCCTTGTCCAAAAGGCTTACCCTTGTTCAACAGGCTTACCCTTGTTTAACAGGCTTACCCTTGTTCAACAGGCTTTCCCTTGTTCAACAGGCTTACCCTTGTTTAATAGGCTTACCCTTGTTCAACAGGCTTTCCCTTGTTCAACAGGCTTACCCTAGTTCAACAGGCTTACCCTTGTTTAACAGGCTTACCCTTGTTCAACAGGCTTACCCTTGTTCAACAGGCTTACCCTGGTTTAACAGGCTGCAGTGCCACAATGATGGAGCAATCTTGAACTGTTTTTGAAATCAGGAATCTTTTCACCTACAATGAAAATAAATCTGAAAAACCAAATGTTCATACAAACTGCATACAATATTTGAAACAAGTAATGTCAGTGAACACCATGAAATAATGAGAGTCAACATGTCACAAAATGATGGATTTCATACCTCCTTCATTTCATTTGAAGGGCAGTCGGGTAGCCTAGTGGTTAAAGCGTTCGCTCGTCACGCCGAAGACCCTGGTTCGATTCCCGACATGGGTACAATGTGTGAAGCTCATTTCTGGTGTCCCCCGCCGTGATATAGCTGGAATATTGCTAAAAGCGGCGTAAAACCATACTCACTCACTCACTCATTTAATTTGAAACTAAACAAAGCAGTAAGAGCTGGTCGAAATGTCATCAGACCTTATAAACCTCAGGTGACATCATCCCATTGTCATGACAACGGTTTGTTTGTTTGTTTAATGCCACACTCAGCAATATTCCAGCTATATGACGATGGTTTGATAATAATTGAGTCTGGACCAGACAATCCAGTGTTTGATATCATGAGCATCAATCTGCGCATCTTATGACAAGCTTGGGTTGCGGAAGACCTATTCTACCCCAGATCTTCACGGGTCTCGACAAGGATCTCTACTGAAACTGGGCACTGGGAGGGGGAATTTTCGGGATCTGGAAGTCTGTGGATTGGGGTCTGTGTAGTGGAGGTGTCTGTGCAGTGGAGGGATCTGTGTAGTGGAGGGGTCTGTGTAGTGGAGGGGTGTGTGGAGTGGAGGGGTCTGTGTAGTGGAGGGGCCTGTGGAGTGGAGGGGTCTGTGTAGTGGAGGGGTCTGTGTAGTGGAGGGATCTGTGGAGTGGAGGGGTCTGTGTAGTGGAGGGGTCTGTGTAGTGGAGGGGTCTGTGGAGTGGAGGGGTCTGTGGAGTGGAGGGGTCTGTGGAGTGGAGGGGTCTATGTAGTGGAGGGGTGTGTGGAGTGGGGGGGTCTGTGTAGTGGAGGGGTGTGTGTAGTGGAGGGGTGTGTGTAGTGGAGGGGTGTGTGTAGTGGAGGGGTGTGTGGAGTGGAGGGGTCTGTGTAGTGGAGGGGTCTGTGTAGTGGAGGGGTCTGTGTAGTGGAGGGGTGTGTGGAGAGGAGGGGTGTGTGGAGTGGAGGGGTCTGTGTAGTGGAGGGGTGTGTGTAGTGGAGGGGTCTGTGGAGTGGAGGGGTCTGTGTAGTGGAGGGGTCTGTGTAGTGGAGGGGTCTGTGGAGTGGAGGGGTGTGTGTAGTGGAGGGGTCTGTGTAGTGGAGGGGTGTGTGGAGAGGAGGGGTGTGTGTAGTGGAGGGGTCTGTGGAGTGGAGGGGTCTGTGGAGTGGAGGGGTCTGTGGAGTGGAGGGGTCTGTGGAGTGGAGGGGTGTGTGGAGAGGAGGGGTGTGTGTAGTGGAGGGGTCTGTGTAGTGGAGGGGTCTGTGTAGTGGAGGGGTCTGTGTAGTGGAGGGGTCTGTGTAGTGGAGGGGTCTGTGTAGTGGCGGGGTGTGTGGAGAGGAGGGGTGTGTGGAGTGGAGGGGTCTGTGTAGTGGAGGGGTGTGTGTAGTGGAGGGGTCTGTGGAGTGGAGGGGTCTGTGTAGTGGAGGGGTCTGTGTAGTGGAGGGGTCTGTGGAGTGGAGGGGTGTGTGTAGTGGAGGGGTCTGTGTAGTGGAGGGGTGTGTGGAGAGGAGGGGTGTGTGTAGTGGAGGGGTCTGTGGATTTGGGTCTGTGGAGTGGAGGGGTGTGTGTAGTGGAGGGGTCTGTGTAGTGGAGGGGTGTGTGGAGAGGAGGGGTGTGTGTAGTGGAGGGGTCTGTGGAGTGGAGGGGTCTGTTTAGTGGAGGGGTCTGTGTAGTGGAGGGATCTGTGGAGTGGAGGGGTCTATGTAGTGGAGGGGTGTGTGTAGTGGAGGGGTGTGTGGAGAGGAGGGGTGTGTGTAGTGGAGGGGTCTGTGGAGTGGAGGGGTCTGTGGAGTGGAGGGGTCTGTGTAGTGGAGGGGTGTGTGTAGTGGAGGGGTGTGTGGAGAGGAGGGGTGTGTGTAGTGGAGGGGTCTGTGGAGTGGAGGGGTCTGTGTAGTGGAGGGGTCTATGTAGTGGAGGGGTCTGTGGAGTGGAGGGGTCTGTGGAGTGGAGGGGTCTGTGTAGTGGAGGGGTCTGTGGAGTGGAGGGGTCTGTGTAGTGGAGGGGTGTGTGGAGTGGAGGGGTGTGTGGAGTGGAGGGATCTGTGTAGTGGAGGGGCCTGTGTAGTGGAGGGGCCTGTGTAGTGGAGGGGTGTGTGGAGTGGAGGGGTCTGTGGAGTGGAGGGGTCTGTGTAGTGGAGGGGTCTATGTAGTGGAGGGGTCTGTGGAGTGGAGGGGTCTGTGGAGTGGAGGGGTCTGTGTAGTGGAGGGGCCTGTGTAGTGGAGGGGCCTGTGTAGTGGAGGGGTGTGTGTAGTGGAGGGGTCTGTGGAGTGGAGGGGTCTGTGTAGTGGAGGGGTCTATGTAGTGGAGGGGTCTGTGGAGTGGAGGGGTCTGTGGAGTGGAGGGGTCTGTGTAGTGGAGGGGTCTGTGGAGTGGAGGGGTCTGTGTAGTGGAGGGGTGTGTGGAGTGGAGGGGTGTGTGGAGTGGAGGGATCTGTGTAGTGGAGGGGTGTGTGTAGTGGAGGGGCCTGTGTAGTGGAGGGGTGTGTGGAGTGGAGGGGTCTATGTAGTGGAGGGGTGTGTGGAGTGGAGGGGTGTGTGGAGTGGAGGGGCCTGTGTAGTGGAGGGGCCTGTGTAGTGGAGGGGTGTGTGGAGTGGAGGGGTCTGTGTAGTGGAGGGGTCTATGTAGTGGAGGGGTGTGTGGAGTGGAGGGGTGTGTGGAGTGGAGGGGCCTGTGTAGTGGAGGGGCCTGTGTAGTGGAGGGGTCTGTGTAGTGGAGGGGTGTGTGTAGTGGAGGGGTCTGTGGAGTGGAGGGGTCTGTGTAGTGGAGGGGTCAGTGGAGTGGAGGGGCCTGTGTAGTGGAGGGGCCTGTGTAGTGGAGGGGTCTGTGGAGTGGAGGGGTCTGTGTAGTGGAGGGGTGTGTGGAGTGGAGGGGTCTGTGTAGTGGAGGGGTCTGTGTAGTGGAGGGGTGTGTGGAGTGGAGGGGTGTGTGGAGTGGAGGGGTGTGTGGAGCGGAGGGGCCTGTGTAGTGGAGGGGCCTGTGTAGTGGAGGGGTGTGTGGAGTGGAGGGGTGTGTGGAGTGGAGGGGTCTGTGTAGTGGAGGGGTCTATGTAGCGGAGGGGTCTATGTAGTGGAGGGGTGTGTGGAGTGGAGGGGTGTGTGGAGTGGAGGGGTCTGTGTAGTGGAGGGGCCTGTGTAGTGGAGGGGTCTGTGTAGTGGAGGGGTGTGTGGAGTGGAGGGGTGTGTGGAGTGGAGGGGCATGTGTAGTGGAGGGGCCTGTGTAGTGGAGGGGTCTGTGTAGTGGAGGGGTGTGTGGAGTGGAGGGGTCTGTGGAGTGGAGGGGTGTGTGGAGTGGAGGGGTCTGTGGAGTGGAGGGGTCTATGGAGTGGAGGGATCTGTGTAGTGGAGGGGTCTGTGTAGTGGAGGGGTGTGTGGAGTGGAGGGGTGTGTGGAGTGGAGGGGTCTGTGGAGTGGAGGGGTCTGTGGAGTGGAGGGGTCGGTGGATTGGGGTCTGTGGAGTGGAGGGGTCTGTTTAGTGGAGGGGTCTGTGTAGTGGAGGGGTCTGTGGAGTGGAGGGGTCGGTGGATTGGGGTCTGTGTAGTGGAGGGGTCTGTGTAGTGGAGGGGTCTGTGGAGTGGAGGGGTCGGTGGATTGGGGTCTGTGTAGTGGAGGGGTCTGTGGAGTGGAGGGGTCGGTGGATTGGGGTCTGTGGAGCGGAGGGGTCTGTGTAGTGGAGGAGTCTGTGGAGTGGAGGGGTTGGTGGATTGGGGTCTGTGGAGTGGAGGGGTCTATGGAGTGGAGGGGTCTGTGGAGTGGAGGGGTCTGTGGAGTGGAGGGGTCTGTGTAGTGGAGGGGTCTGTGTAGTGGAGCGGTCTGTGGAGTGGAGGGGTCTGTGGAGTGGAGGGGTCTGTGTAGTGGAGGGGTCTGTGGAGCGGAGGGGTCTGTGTAGTGGAGGGGTCTGTGGAGTGGAGGGGTCGGTGGATTGGGGTCTGAGGAGGGGAGGGGTCTGTGGAGTGGAGGGGTCTGTGTAGTGGAGGGGTCTGTGGAGTGGAGGGGTCGGTGGATTGGGGTCTGTGTAGTGGAGGGGTCTGTGTAGTGGAGGGGTCGGTGGATTGGGGTCTGTGGAGCGGAGGGGTCTGTGTAGTGGAGGGGTCTGTGGAGTGGAGGGGTCGGTGGATTTGGGTCTGTGGAGTGGAGGGGTCTGGGAAATGGGAAGTGTCCTTAGATGTGGGGTGGGCACTGGGGTTTAGGTACTGGGGACTGGACACTGATCCCAGATCCCACCCTACCCAAAATATCCCACTGCCCTGACTTGGATGGAAATGATAAAGTGATGAATTGGGCGACACAGGACAAATCCCAACACTGAAGATGTTCATCTCCACATCAACTCACCTTCTCTACAGCAAACTCCAGACTAGACACAGGAACACTGGCCTTCACCTCTGACCCCATCATCCAGAGGTCACGAGTGTAAGGACCATCTAGACCCCAGTGAATTCTGAAACGACCAAGAGACCATATATTCTGGTCTTCAGGGCAAATAACAACAAATAAATAATATATACATTTCATTCGGGAAGTTATCAAGCAAGCAATGATCAAACAGACTGCCACTGTTAATTATCAATGCGCCAGCAATGATCAAATGGACTGTCACTATTAATTATCAATGTGCAAGCAATGATCAAATAGACTGCCACTATTAATCATCAATGCGCAAGCAATGATCAAATAGACTGCCACTATTAATTATCAATGCACAAGCAATGAGATTGACCTTACCTGTCTGTGGGGTGGTCCTTGAGATTGACCTTACCTGTCTGTGGGGGGAGTCCCTGACTGTCTGTGGGGTGGTCCTTGAGATTGACCTTACCTGTCTGTGGGGGAGTCCCTGCCTGTCTGTGGGGTGGTCCTTGAGATTGACCTTACCTGTCTGTGGGGGGAGTCCCTGCCTGTCTGTGGGGTGGTCCTTGAGATTGACCTTACCTGTCTGTGGGGGGAGTCCCTGCCTGTCTGTGGGGTGGTCCTTGAGATTGACCTTACCTGTCTGTGGGGGGAGTCCCTGCCTGTCTGTGGGGTGGTCCTTGGGGATTGACCTTACCTGTCTGTGGGGTGGTCCTTGAGATTGACCTTACCTGTCTGTGGGGGAGTCCCTGCCTGTCTGTGGGGTGGTCCTTGAGATTGACCTTACCTGTCTGTGGGGGGAGTCCCTGCCTGTCTGTGGGGTGGTCCTTGAGATTGACCTTACCTGTCTGTGGGGTGGTCCTTGAGATTGACCTTACCTGTCTGTGGGGGGAGTCCCTGCCTGTCTGTGGGGTGGTCCTTGGGGATTGACCTTACCTGTCTGTGGGGTGGTCCTTGAGATTGACCTTACCTGTCTGTGGGGTGGTCCTTGAGATTGACCTTACCTGTCTGTGGGGGAGTCCCTGCCTGTCTGTGGGGTGGTCCTTGAGATTGACCTTACCTGTCTGTGGGGGGAGTCCCTGCCTGTCTGTGGGGTGGTCCTTGAGATTGACCTTACCTGTCTGTGGGGTGGTCCTTGAGATTGACCTTACCTGTCTGTGGGGGGAGTCCCTGCCTGCCTGTGGGGTGGTCCTTGAGATTGACCTTACCTGTCTGTGGGGTGGTCCTTGAGATTGACCTTACCTGTCTGTGGGGTGGTCCTTGAGATTGACCTTACCTGTCTGTGGGGGAGTCCCTGCCTGTCTGTGGGGTGGTCCTTGAGATTGACCTTACCTGTCTGTGGGGGGAGTCCCTGACTGTCTGTGGGGTGGTCCTTGAGATTGACCTTACCTGTCTGTGGGGGGAGTCCCTGCCTGTCTTTGGGGTGGTCCTTGAGATTGACCTTACCTGTCTGTGGGGGAGTCCCTGCCTGTCTGTGGGGTGGTCCTTGAGATTGACCTTACCTGTCTGTGGGGGGAGTCCCTGCCTGTCTGTGGGGTGGTCCTTGAGATTGACCTTACCTGTCTGTGGGGTGGTCCTTGAGACGGGCCTGGAGTCTATGATACAGCGGGTAGATGTTCTCAATGTCAAGGTCATCCAGTTTCTGGATGGAACAGATCCGCTCCAATACACAACCATGAGGAAGGTAACTCAGGGAAACTGTCAACACAAAATATACAACTTTTAGACACACAACAAAAAAAGTGCTTTTAAACATATTTTTATAACTTAAAAGTGTCCAGGTAAAATTACTTTTATGCTATCAAGGGGATCAGTCAATATGAATCTCTCTCTAACAATACTATGCATCGGGTTTCTTTTCATTTTCAAAAACTTTCAAATTGGAGTTGGTTTGCAAGTATAGACAAAGAGTGAGTCCTATATTTTAGTTAACACAATTGTAAGCAAACAGTTAGACTAATCTTAATACCGTATTCAACGTAATAAGCGCCCAGGGCGCTCTCAAAATTAGAAATAGGGTGCTCTTATTAGAAGATTATGTTGGTGAAAAAAACAGAGTTGAAAGATAAATTTTGTGGTTCATAGTGACAGCCTGAAATGTTTATGTACGACATATATATTTTTCAAGAATTTAATTGTCCATAATTAAGGGTGCATATAACAAACGAGTGTGTATTATACGCTAATAAATAAGTCTTGTGTACATTGATCAATCGGAAGGGTTGCTAATTGGGATTGTTCACTTGACAATATATCAGCAAATATCGCCTTGGGTGCTTATTAGAGCTTGGGCGCTTATTACGTCGAATACGGTAAGTTATTCATTTTGAGTCACAACCACACAGTGTTATATTATCTTTTCATAAGACAAATGATTCAACCAAGGAAACAGACTGAAGACATGATGGCTGGACAGTATGACATATTGAGAGCTTCACAAAGTTACAATTGAAAAACATGATTACCTCCCTTAGACCATAATCGCATTCTAGGAATAAATTGTTTTTCCTTCTTTCTCTAAAACTGACAACTGCTGACTAAGATACAAATTAGCAATGATAACATATCCAACCTGACAAAACATACCAGCCAACTCCACATAAATGTTCTCATGATGCATGGCCATGGCTTACTTCTCAGAATTCACGCTTAAAGTCATCAGCATACTGTATATCAATACATGTATTCTACCTCCAAAAACTTTCCAAAATAGATTCAGCAGTGACGTAACTAAAACACAAGACACTGGCCAGTTTAACAAGACTGGAATTGATTCCACATATTCCCAATTGAAAGCTTTGCTTCTTGTCATATAGAGATTGTTATCTATTGCATTTTCTTGAACTCAATCTAAACAGAAGTTTCAGCCAATGTATGGCACAACCCTGGAGTTAATTTGAGTTGTCTCCCCTTGACCTTACACTGGATTGTTTGATAGGCATTTCTCTTGAAGTTCACTGATGACAAAATAGACATAATTTATGGATAACAACTTCTTTAATTACTGTAATGGCGACATTTTGGTATAGAAGCAAGACTGACCTTACCAAAACGTCACCTTTACAGTAATCAAAGACGTTAATAAACTTGCTGACAAAGCACACACTCAAACATACATTTTCATTTCTGTTAAAAAGGTTGGGGGGAAAGAATTGATATTTTTGTGGGGTGAAAAACATAGATTTGACATTATTCTTGAACAAATGATTTTGCAAGTTACAGATCTTGGGGGTTGAAAAATATCTGACATAAACGCATGAGGCTTAAAAAAATAAAAGAATTGGTTCTCAGGCAATGGCTTTTGAAAACGTAGAGCAGGTGGGCGGTGTTTGTTTGTTTGTTTTCTTTATTGGATGTTTAAACTAGTATGTAACCAAATAAACTGTACAATCAACCTGGGAAAGGGCCTCCCTACATAAATGTATTCCTTGATGAGTAAAATACCGGAATACAGCATTTGACTACCCTTGGCCTCCCAGTGAGTGCGTAATGCAAGCATACAATGAGCTTTTATTTCAAAAGTTATCGTAAGCATGTCAACAACAATCCATACTGAAGTACGCAAGTTAGTCCTGTTATTACACTATCTGGGTGAGTTAGTGAGTGAGTGAGTTGGGTTTAATGCTACTTTTAACATTATTCCAGTTATATCACTGCGTGCAGCTTAATGTGGGTGGAAAGTTTGAAGTTATGCAGGTCTCAGACGTTTACCACTTCAGTGAAACCCACGTGCACGGGTATGGTGCTGACAAACCTAGAAACATAATCGGGGCAAACCGGGATTCGAACCCACAATCATAGGATTCTGGCATGCCCAAGGGACGCAACTCTGCACAGCAAATTGCCACACCTTCGACGACTGGGCCACCCGTGCCCACAAACTATCTGGCTATTAAAGTGTTCACTGTGTATCAGGACCTACTTTTGTAAGCCATTATATCACTTTTCTCCAAGATTTCATTCAATCTGTTTCCAAACACACAAAATGTAAGGATTTTATTTTTGTTTTGAAAATGGAAATAAAAACAAAAAGTTCGGCAGACTTTATGACGATGGGGGCCTGATGATATACCTGAGAACCAAGACTGTTATTTTTGTAGCCTGATCCATATGTGGGTGGGCATCAAAATATCATAATTGATCAGTGACTCAAATCACAGATGGAAATGTTGATCTAAAATGCTATGCACCAACAAATACACAAACCATCGCCGTTGGTGTGTTCGAACTTGCTGTTTTGACATCGTTGTGGTTTAATGTGTCGAGGTGAGTGAGTGTGTGAGCAGTTACCTCCCCTTCCTCCAGGAGCCAGGAGGATTTTTATGACGAGATCTAATAACATGTACTCATATCTGAAACAGAAAACACAAATACTATAAAAAAAAACAATACAATTAATAAGCATACAAGCAATAAATTGATGAGGTAAAAATACAACTTCAAACAAGTAAAAGAACACCCGATGAGTTTCAAAAGACTTTAATTAATCTGTCATAGGCAATGACAGATTGACAATAGTCAGATGACAAATCGGGTAATCTTTAATTTCTTTTCAGTAGTATATTTTCTCTGTTGCATGGATTCGGGTTGTGAGTCCAAATTTGCTGCCTGTACATGAACCTGTAAATAATGTCTGAGCCATGCAAACCAGTGATTGAAAGCATGAGCAGCGATGCAGGACAGGTTGACACACAAGCAACACAAGCCAGGGCCAACATTATGCCCACCCGATCCTCGCTAGTGGGCCCTTAATTATTAGAAACATTGGGTACTTGTTTATTCGGTGTCGTGTTGAAACCAATGACCACATCCTGGCACAGCTAAGGGATGTAACTCTGCATATAGCATTCTTACACACAACTGGAGCATGATATACCAAAGCAGTGAAATGTCAGCAGAGAAATACTGTAAATTGTGAAATTGTCTCCAAAAAAGTGCGACCGCTGGTCCCTTGCCAAAAATGCGACTCAATATGAATGCGACACCCCCCTCCTCTCAAGCATCAGTGGTTTTATATCTAAACAAAATGTCCTCTGTCAGGTTTACAGGAGAATTCTCACCTTAATCCAACCTTACATTAATCCAATCACACACCAAATAGCTCTGCTTATTAGCGCTGAGTAGAGTACTACCGCTTAAAGCCCCACCCTGACTATAAATAGCCCGCAAGGTGGCGGTGTTTCAGTTTCGAACAATGACTGACAATGTAAACACAACCGAGTGTCGGGAGACGTTTTTTGAAAACCATAAGGGAACCAGATCACCATTGACCGTCAAACTTCGTATCAACTTGAATGACAAACCATGGATACAACAAATGGCTCCATATCAAGATATAAGTCAATAGATTTTCTGTAGTTTTATCATAAAAAATCTTATCGATCGTGTTTGGCGTCTGCATCAATCACAGTGGGCGGAGCTTGTTTACGGTTGCGCTATAAATAGCAAAGCACATGGTCATGTGTACATGTGACACATTCAATGCATTTGTGGTCAAAGTGAATTGTGTTGCATATTTTTTCGGCAGAACAGCAGCAGAACATCAGTTTCGGTTAATGTAACAGTAACGATATTTAAATACGAAATTGACGACGCGATTCTTTGAGTTCAATCCGAAAATTACAGATATTTGTTTAGTTTTGGTCATTTGCATTCAACATTTAGATTTGTGCCACACAATAATCAGTTTATATTTATAAAACCTAAATTATTACACAGATTTTTCAACTAGTGTTTAGGAAGGGGCCTAATTTGAAGCACCAGAAGTTGCGCCAATATTTCTCAGCTTGACTACAATAGATGAATATGTCACGTGTATCAACATAACAATGCACATAAGCAACTGGTAAATAAGTAACGAAATATACTTGATGTTTTGACCTACTGAAGGCGTATCCAGATAATATTGTACTTACGATAAACGAAAACTCCAATACACATATTCCAAGACAACTTTAATTATGAATTTCCTTTTCTTTCACAGAATTTTCACACACAAAACTGAGTTTGATCATTAGATCCACACTTGTCCCATGTATTTTTTGTTCGGGGTATTTGGATACACTTCGCGCACAAGTTTTAAAATATAATCTGGGATCCCTTTCCCGTTTTGTCCACACCAATCCTTCATCTGCTGCAACGTTTATTTCCGTTTCTTCAAGTCGAGGTATCTACGATCTCTCCAAACACTTCGTTTATTTAGCTCAGTCCAGAAGCAATGTGTTCGAATCGACGAATTTCTGCAATATGGTGGCCGCACCATTCCCTAACTGCGATTGCCTGTGCCGTGTCACGCATGGTTGACAAAAGAAATGTGAACATACATATTCGGCTTCATCTGGTTCCACATTGAAATCTAGCTGTGACACTGATTCACTAATCCCAAGAATCGGCACTGAATTTATCAAAGTTTCTGTTGCACTTGCAAGGGCGGGAAGAGAGGCGCCATCTTGTCGATTCGAGTTGTGAATCGGAATGATGTCATCTTGAATTGGAACTTTCTCCACGATAAAGTCACCAGTGTCATAATCGAAATTACCTAAGGCTCCCTGATTATCTCGAACAATTCTTCGTCAAATTAGGCTTACATGAAAATGTTTTGTTGCTCATATTGAAAACAAGCGAAATTGCAAAGTTCTTGACAGTTGTAAGCAGCAACTCGATGCGCTCATGGGGCGTAGTTGCTAGGAGATCGCGTGGTCAGAAAGGCGAAAATAAAAAGTTTTAGAAAGTAATAAAAGAAATGCCCAGTGCAATCCAAAAGTACCATGTACAGGATATTTAAAAAAAATAATATTCGCGAAAACAAATCTTTTCTAAAAATGCAAAATAATTTATTAATTTATCCCAAGGTCGTAACCCTGATCACGTGGTGGGTATTTAGAAGGAATCTTTGCGATGACGCCGTGAATGAGGCTGTGTGTATTACATTGTTGAAATCAGCTGCCCAGGAATGTTGAGGCATTGACATTATGACAGATGTTCGTCATGGATGGAGAGAAAAATGTATCTGAGAGAAACATTGTTGCTTTGAGCTTCGAGACAAAACATGTGTTAATGCCGAAGTAGCCAGCGACCTGAATGTAAGCTTGATGAAAGTAATGTTGAAACCCATTTTCACGCACATGACAGAATTAATGTGAACAAATATTTATCTGAACATCGTTTCGAAGTCTGTGAGGCTGTCCGTATTTGAATATTTTTATCTCCATTTCGACGTGAAATGATATAATGTCTTCGTGTCTCAATTTTGCTGCCGCTGTTGAAAATTGCGCACCGATCTAATAAAAGAAATACTACTAGATCTACAATTGCACCGTCATAAAAGAACCAGGTCAACTTTATCTTTGTTCCGTTGTTTATTAAAAATTCGTTTCCGAAGCAAAGCGAATCGATCTACATCATAAATTAATTCATAGACTAGATTCTAGTACCAAGTGTTGAACCTTTTTTTAAAATGTCATCAAATAACTTACACAATTATTGAAAGACATTTTTTGATAAGTGATATATTTTATTTCGTCCGTCCGGTCTCTGATTAGTTGAGGCTTGAGGGAAGAAACACATACAAAAAATATGGATGGCCTTATGCAAATGACACTTGGCATGCCAATCAACAGGGATCTGGGTCACTGGGACCCGCCAAGTTTCACGGATCAAGTTACTTCGGCATTAGGAGCTTCATCGGACAAGTGAGACTTTGCCAAAATGCATTGCTACTGGGCAATGAAAAAACGACAAGAAACTACTTTGATCACTTGAAAATATTTTTGACCATTACCAGGGTTTTTTACACGATCGTTGTCATCCAGATTCCAGATGAGGCAAGACGAACACAACGAAGAAAAACATTGTTGAAATCACCGATTACTGTATATATTGTGAGAAATGCTATTTATTAACTGCAGATATACCGTACACCACAGGATAGCGATTGGTGCCCCAACACATATTATGTTTCTTCATTTACACTGCTCATATGCATCACGACAAACGTATTTCGTTCTAGTCCAGAGATCTAGAACTATAATTTGTGTGTTGGATAAATCGTGGACATTCCACGGTATCATTTTATGAAGATGTGAAGACGACATGGCAGGTAGGTTTTGAAACCAAAGACGTACGCGTTTGTTGAAAAGTCTTGGAATCGTTTGGTAGATATTTATATTACCATTAAAACTTACGTCCTTGTTGTCAAACGGCCCACGTGGGTGGGTGTTTACATGACGTCACCCGTTTACGCATTAACCAATGAAATGTATGTGTTATCATGACGTCATATTGACCTGTCAAATCACTTGTATAAGCTCCGCCCACTAGAGTGCGGTAGTTACTACCGCAGATGGGGCTTTAAACAATACATGCGTGCTGGCTCGTGTCGGCCTTTGACGCAGTGGCAAAGAACAAAGACACCCTGTTGCGTGGAATCTGCCCTGGGCTCGGATGTGGGTGAAGATGCTTCTCTTCCAGCAACCTACCTATGTTTCTTGTGTTGACTTCCCTTGAAAAAGTCCTCCAGATCTACACTCAGGTCCTGCTTGACACAGGCGCCGTATATCTCTTGACCATTCTGGGAGAGAACGTTTACACGGTGAGTGAGTGAGATGGGTTTAACACCATGTTCAACAGTATTTAAGTTAATTAGGGTAGACCACCTCCATGTCCAGTGGACAGAGCGTCATACCAAAAGATGTCAGAAGATTGCACTGCCTTGTACCCTGCCTCAGCGTTGCGGGGGTAAAACAAGGATTGGTTGGCTCGGAGTCAGTATAGTTTGTCTGTGAGGGGTATCCCTTTTAAACTGTGCCATGGTATTTCAGTGGGTCAGCACTATAAAAGCGGCACTTGTCTAGACTACTAGTACAAGCAGCCACACACACAGGTGCATGCAGGCCACTGTGTACTGCAATTATCTTGAACCAGTTTCACTTCATCTTAATGTGGGATGAAAGCCCAGAGTGACAAATCTTTCTGATGTTTACCAACCCACCGACCCACCGACCCACCGACCCACCAACCCACCGACCCACCAACACACCGACCCACCAACCCACCAACCCACCGACCCACCAACCCACCGACCCACCAACACACCTACCCACCTACCCACCAACCCACTGACCCACCATCCCACCTACCCACCGACCCACCAACCCACCGACCCACCATCCCACCAACCCACCGACCCACCAACACACCGACCCACCAACCCACCAACCCACCGACCCACCAACCCACCGACCCACCAACACACCTACCCACCATCCCACCCACCGACCCACCAACACACCTACCCACCAACCCACTGACACACCATCCCACCTACCCACCGACCCACCAACCCACCGACCCACCATTCCACCTACCCACCGACCCACCATCCCACCGACCCACCAACACACCTACCCACCAACACACCTACCCACCAACCCACCAACACACCTACCCACCAACCCACCTACCCACCAACCCACCAACACACCTACCCACCAACCCACCTACCCACCGACCCACCAACACACCTACCCACCAACCCACCGACCCACCAACACACCTACCCACCGACCCACCAACACACCTACCCACCGACTCACCATCCCACCAACACACCTACCCACCAACCCACCTACCCACCGACCCACCATCCCACCTACCCACCGACCCACCAACCCACCAACACACCTACCCACCATCCCACCTACACACCGACCCACCAACACACCATCCCACCTACACACCGACCCACCAACACACCTACCCACCAACACACCGACCCACCAACCCACCAACCCACCTACCCACCAACCCACCAACACACCTACCCACCATCCCACCTACCCACCAACCCATCAACCCACCGACCCACCAACACACCTACCCACCAACACACCGACCCACCAACACACCTACCCATCAACACACCAACACACCTACCCACCATCCCACCTACCCACCAACCCACCAACCCACCGACCCACCAACACACCTACCCACCAACACACCGACCCACCAACCCACCAACACACCTACCCACCAACCCACCTACCCACCTACCCACCGACCCACCAACACACCTACCCACCAACCCACCTACCCACCTACCCACCGACCCACCAACACACCTACCCACCAACACACCTACCCACCAACCCACCAACCCACCGACCCACCAACACACCAACCCACCATCCCACCTACCCACCGACCCACCAACACACCTACACACCGACCCACCTACCCACCATCCCACCAACACACCAACCCACCTACCCACCGACCCACCAACACACCTACCCACCATCCCACCGACCCACCAACACACCTACCCACCATCCCACCTACCCACCGACCCACCTACCCACCAACACACCTACCCACCGTCCCACCAACCGACCGACCCACCATCCCACCTACCCACAACCCACCTACCCACCAACCCACCGACCCACCTACCCACCAACACACCTACCCACCTACCCACCAACCCACCTACCCACCAACCCACCGACCCACCAACACACCTACCCACCTACCCACCATCCCACCTACCCACCAACCCACCGACCCACCAACACACCTACCCACCGACCCACCAACCCACCTACCCATCAACACACCTACCCACCAACACACCTACCCACCGACCCAACAACACACCTACCCACCATCCCACCTACCCACCAACCCACCGACCCACCTACCCACCGACCCACCAACACACCGACCCACCAACACACCTACCCACCATCCCACCTACCCACCGACCCACCAACACACCTACCCACCAACCCACCTACCCACCAACACACCTACCCACCATCCCACCTACCCACCAACCCACCTACCCACCAACCCACCGACCCACCATCCCACCTACCCACCGACCCACCAACACACCTACCCACCAACCCACCTACCCACAGACCCACCAACCCACCGACCCACCAACACACCTACCCACCAACACACCTACCCACCAACCCACCGACCCACCAACACACCTACCCACCAACCCACCTACCCACAGACCCACCAACACACCTACCCACCAACACACCTACCCACCGACCCACCAACACACCTACCCACCATCCCACCTACCCACCAACCCACCGACCCACCATCCCACCTACCCACCGACCCACCAACACACCTACCCACCAACCCACCTACCCACAGACCCACCAACCCACCGACCCACCAACACACCTACCCACCAACACACCTACCCACCAACCCACCTACCCACAGACCCACCAACCCACCGACCCACCAACACACCTACCCACCGACACACCTACCCACCGACCCACCAACCCACCGACCCACCAACACACCTACCCACCAACCCACCTACCCACCTACCCACCTACCCACCTACCCACCGACCCACCAACACACCTACCCACCAACCCACCTACCCACAGACCCACCAACCCACCGACCCACCAACACACCTACCCACCAACACACCTACCCACCAACCCACCAACCCACCATCCCACCTACCCACCAACACACCTACCCACCAACCCACCTACCCACAGACCCACCAACACACCTACCCACCAACACACCTACCCACCGACCCACCAACACACCTACCCACCATCCCACCTACCCACCAACCCACCATCCCACCTACCCACCGACCCACCAACACACCTACCCACCAACCCACCTACCCACAGACCCACCAACCCACCGACCCACCAACACACCTACCCACCAACACACCTACCCACCAACACACCAACCCACCATCCCACCTACCCACCGACCCACCAACACACCTACACACCGACCCACCTACCCACCATCCCACCAACACACCAACCCACCTACCCACCGACCCACCAACACACCTACCCACCATCCCACCGACCCACCAACACACCATCCCACCGACCCACCTACCCACCAACACACCTACCCACCGTCCCACCAACCGACCGACCCACCATCCCACCTACCCACCATCCCACCAACACACCTACCCACCAATACACCTACCCACCAACCCAGCAACCCACCGACCCAGCAACCCACTGACCCAGCAACCCACCGACACACCATCCCACCTACCCACCGACCCACCATCCCACCAACACACCGACCCCCCAACACACCTACCCACCAACCCACCTACCCACCGACCCAGCAACCCACCGACCTAGCAACCCAGCAACCCACCATCCCACCAACACACCGACCCACCGACCCATCGACCCACCGACCCACCAACCCACTGACCCACCAACCCCAAAACCCACCGACCCACCAACACACAGACACACCAACACACAGACACACCAACCCAGCAACCAACCAACACACCGACCCAGCAACCCTAGCAACCCAGCAACCCTAGCAACCCAGCAACCCAGCAACCCAGCGACCCACCAACCCAGCGACCCACCAACCACCAACCCACCAACCTACCAACCCACCAACCTATCAACCTACCAACACACCAACCCACCAACAGACCAACCAACACACCAACCCACCGACCCACCAACCCACCAACACAGGTATGGTGCTGACACACCATGAATCAACGTGAATCAGGATGAATCACGTCATACATACAGGTTTCTTGTTAACCCTGCACTCCACAATATTCTAGCTAAATGACAGCAGTCTCTAAATAATCGAGTTTGGACCAGACAATCGGTGATTGACATCATGAGCATCGACCTACACAATTGGGATGCAATGACAAGCACCAACCAAGTCAGGGAGTCATATCACCTAATCACGCATCTTACCACAAGCATTGGTTGCTGGAGACCAATTCTAACCTGGATCTTCACGGGGATTGTATATGTGATTTGTATTATTGGGCAAAAATAGGATTTGAGTCCTAGTATCTGAAGGTGTACTTACCTTGCATATCTTTAGATTATTCTGTGGCGTTTTCACTAATGATAGGAGCGCATGCTTCATCTGATGGGGGTTTCTGGAAAATAAAAAAGTGTCACCTTAAATGATAGCAGTTTTCAGTCTTGTGTTTCATAACAGAGCATGTATATTGTACCCTGCATGTCGTGACCAGGGAACTGTGGGCACTGCTCACCCAGACCAGCCAAGTCAGCCGAACAGCAGCATTTGTCATCAATGAAACAATTAGTGTCTCATTAGTTTGGTATTCTTGTTTATTGTTTGCAGTAAATCAAAGAAAGATTGGTGGTGATGCATAATGGCTGGTTACATATTTTGACATGTCACCCACTGATATCTCATTAGTCTCAATGACCAATTTAATAGTGTCGTGTTTGTTAATCGTCTTGTTTATTCATAATTATGTGAGAACAAAGTAAAACTGTATGCGATGTTAGAAGCATATTGTCGAAATGTGTCCACATTATTTCGCGTGTAACTGTGGCAAACACTGGCAGCAGTGACGACAATATGGAAGTCCCTCGCTATGTTCATGATGAAAAGGTTTCTAAATTATGCCATGGTACAGATGAAAAAATTACTTAACACAAAGAAACATTTTGACTGGATCAGTTTCTTGAAACAAAAACTTCATTTAAGTTATTGTGGCCTTGTGCATGACAATCCTCCCTACAGTTCTCCCAGGGGCCTGCACACAGGGCAGTGACGAGGCTGTTCATTGGGAAACAACATTGGGAAACAACATTGGGAAACAACATCGGGAAACAACATTGGGAAACAATATTGGGAAACAACATTGGGAAACAACATTAGGAAACAGCATTGGGAAACAACATTGGGAAACAACATTAGGAAACAGCATTGGGAAACAACACAGTCGCTTCTTCACCTGAACAAAGCCAAGTCAAGGTTCAGCAGCTCACCTGATCTGATAAAACCAGGGAGAACAGTGCAGGCTAGAAAGACTAGCACCAATAAACCCATAACTAAAAGTTATCACTAAACTGGCAGCAGTGTATAATGAAATGGTTCGTGCATTGTGTCACCATGGCTCATCAATCTGTCACCCACAGCAAGTACATGGCCACTGACATCAGCGCTGGGAGCTTCTTTGTTTGTTTTTGTTTGTTTGTTGTTTAACGCCAAACTCAGCAAAATTCCAGCTACATGACGGTGGTCTGTAAGTAATCAAGTCTGGACCAGACAATCCAGTGATCGACATGAGAATCGATCCACACAATTTGGATACGATCACAAGCATCGACCAAGTCAGCGAGCCTGATCCCATTAGTCGCCTCTTATGACAAGCACAGTCACCTTCAACGGCAAGCATGGGTTACTGAAGCCCTACTGCTGGGATAATCTGGTGGTTATCGGGACACTGAAAGAGCCCGAGAGGACAGGCAGTGATGAGGACAGGCAGTGATGAGGACAAGCAGTGATGAGGACAAGCAGTGATGAGGACAAGCAGTGATGAGGACAAGCAGTGATGAGGACAAGCAGGGATGAGGACAAGCAGTGATGAGGACAGGCAGTGATGAGGACAAGCAGTGATGAGGACAAGCAGTGATGAGGACAAGCAGGGATGAGGACAAGCAGTGATGAGGACAAGCAGTGATGAGGACACTGGGGGCCACTGGAAATGACCGATGTTGGTACGAAAATGTTCAGATGACTGACAACTAGTCCTTTTTCTTCCTAATACTTGAAAGTTTGGAATTCTCAAACATGGTCAAATACATCATAAGCATCGACTTACGCAATTGGGATACAATGACATGCATCAACAAAGTCACGAGTCCTACCACCCAACCCCGCATCTTACGACAAGCATGGGTTGATGAAGACCAATTCTAACCTGGATCTTCATGGGGATTATATACTTGCTTGGTATGACAGATCATTATGGGGCAATAGGATTTGAATCCCAGAATCTGAACTTGTACTTACCGTGCATATCTTTAAGCAGATAGGTACATTTTACATGATAATATCGAGGAGACAAATCAGGGATTTTGTAACATTTCGTTGTATCAATTTGGTCTTTCTATCCATGTTCTACTGTACATAAGTAGGGCTAAAATGAGTGAAAGAGACCAACTTTTTAAACTTTAAAAGTAAATCTACAAGCAAGTCTGTAGACAAAATTTTACAATACGTTTGTACCCTTATCTATATGTCCTAAGTAAATCTGCTTGTGCTAACCACTTTTGTGAAGCCCATGAGCACGGGTATGGTGCCGACACAAACATAATCGGGCAAACAGGGATTCGTACCCACAATCATAGGTTCCTGTTGTGACAAGGGACGTAACTCTGCACAGCAAATTACGGCACCTTAGAGGACTGGGCCCCTCATGCCCCTGAACATTCAACTGAACACTAACAGGACCCTATTGTGTTCAATACAGGCTGTCACTGTGTCATATCACACATCGTGTCATGTTCACAAACATATCTCCCTAAAATCAGATAATGCCCCAGCACTAACATCCATGATATCTTCCCTCATAGGTAATACAAACTACTTTAGCTACAACTCACTCATTCCATTTCGTAACATTTGTTACTGCTGTTAAAAACAGCATATGAACTACTGGCGCCACAAATCCTGAAAGCTGACAAACAACCTCCCTGACAAACATGGGTCCATCCCAACTGCTCCGTGTTAACTGCCTTTACGACAGCTGCCCTCATTTCATGGACACGGACATTTACTTAACAGATAAACATCTCAAGCGTCTGTTTCCAAGCACAACATTTATGTTACTGTCACAAACATTTTTTATTCCAAAATCCTTTTCCTTATCCATGATGTAAGTCTACAAATTAAGACTAACAGAAAATGGAGAGATTATCTTTGACCTAAAATCACTGGAGCACAAGAATAAATGACCAAGGTATGATTCTCCTGGCTCACTCCTTCTCAGACAGTATTTGCCATTAAATGTGTCACCAGATATCCTGGGAATGTCAAATATTTGAAGTCGACCCAGCTCGTCAAGGTGAAAATTCAATCAGAATTAATTAAACACTTGTCATAGTGACTTTGAGTATCTACTGCCTGCTGGGCTGTTTGTTTAGATGTGCATCTAGCAACAGAAAATGAATCAATTTTCTTATATTTACAGTTTCTTACTTTCACAAAAGCTAAATTTGGAAAACAAACCAAAGTTATACAGCAAAAAAGAAGTTTTAGATAAAGCTCTATGCTGTACAGTAAAGTACAAATTTGTTTCATACTGTGAATACATGTATAAATAAAGGCTAATTAATTATGCAAATATATTCAAAAGGTTACTAGGCATGTGAATATCAATGAATACTATATCTACATTGACCCAAAACTATCACAAATATAAAAAATCCAACACACATTCATCATAAATAACCACACAGTGTGTAATTATATTTTTTATGAGAAAAAACATCTACAATGACACAAGAAATACCATTTCATCACGCACAGATCCGAATTACACAATATAGATCAAAGGAAACTAAAACATTTGGGTCTCACAAAATAAACACTGTAGTGTATATTTCTTCCAGCAAGCAATCATAAGTATTTGGTGTATATAAACAGTTATAGTTGCTGGTGAAATTAATTTACAATTTGATTAGCATTGGATTCACATATTGCAAATTTTCCATCAGTGATTGATTTCGCTATATCTTCCACTAGCCTATATCAAAGCCTAGTTTCTACCCGAGGAAAGCGTGTCCACTAGCCTATATCAAAGCCTAGTTTCTACATCTTCCCGAGGCAAGCGTGTCCACTAGCCTATATCAAAGACTAGTTTCTACCCAAGGCAAGCGTGTCCACTTGCCTATATCAAAGCCTAGTTTCTACCCGAGGTAAGCGTGTCCACTAGCCTATATCAAAGCCTAGTTTCTATTCGAGGCAAGCTTGTCCACTAGCCTATATCAAAGCCGAGTTTCTACCCGAGGTAAGCGTGTCCACTAGCCTATATCAAAGCCTAGTTTCTACCCAAGGCAAGCGTGTCCACTAGCCTATATCAAAGACTAGTTTCTACCCAAGGCAAGCGTGTCCACTTGCCTATATCAAAGACTAGTTTCTACCCAAGGCAAGCGTGTCCACTTGCCTATATCAAAGCCTAGTTTCTACCCGAGGTAAGCCTGTCCACTAGCCTATATCAAAGACTAGTTTCTACCCAAGGCAAGCGTGTCCACTTGCCTATATCAAAGACTAGTTTCTACCCAAGGCAAGCGTGTCCACTAGCCTATATCAAAGCCTAGTTTCTACCCGAGGTAAGCCTGTCCACTAGCCTATATCAAAGACTAGTTTCTACCCAAGGCAAGCGTGTCCACTTGCCTATATCAAAGACTAGTTTCTACCCAAGGCAAGCGTGTCCACTTGCCTATATCAAAGCCTAGTTTCTACCCGAGGTAAGCGTGACCACTAGCCTATATCAAAGCCTAGTTTCTACATCTTCCCGAGGCAAGCGTGTCCACTAGCCTATATCAAAGACTAGTTTCTACCCAAGGCAAGCGTGTCCACTTGCCTATATCAAAGCCTAGTTTCTACCCGAGGTAAGCGTGTCCACTAGCCTATATCAAAGCCTAGTTTCTACATCTTCCCGAGGCAAGCGTGTCCACTAGCCTATATCAAAGACTAGTTTCTACCCAAGGCAAGCGTGTCCACTAGCCTATATCAAAGACTAGTTTCTACCCAAGGCAAGCGTGTCCACTTGCCTATATCAAAGCCTAGTTTCTACCCGAGGTAAGCGTGTCCACTAGCCTATATCAAAGCCTAGTTTCTATTCGAGGCAAGCTTGTCCACTAGCCTATATCAAAGCCGAGTTTCTACCTGAGGTAAGCGTGTCCACTAGCCTATATCAAAGCCTAGTTTCTACCCAAGGCAAGCGTGTCCACTAGCCTATATCAAAGACTAGTTTCTACCCAAGGCAAGCGTGTCCACTTGCCTATATCAAAGACTAGTTTCTACCCAAGGCAAGCGTGTCCACTTGCCTATATCAAAGCCTAGTTTCTACCCGAGGTAAGCCTGTCCACTAGCCTATATCAAAGACTAGTTTCT